ACGTGTCAATGGTGTAATATGTTCTGATATATGTTGTGTAATGTTAAATTGGATTAAACTTATCTACCTCCTCAAGCATTTATCATTTTTTTTATGGTTGAAAACATTCACAATCCTTTTTCCTAGATATTTGAAATATACAGTAAATTATCATTGTCTCATTCATCTATTGTACAAGCACATGTTAAATACTGTTACTAGGAAAATCATAACTTCAGGTGTATGGTATAATGTACACCTATAAGGAAATATATGCAGCAGCTGAATAGACTAAGAACAAAGATAAGGTACGTAAGTGTTTTATTTATTCTTCTACAGTTACTACGTTCAACTGGGTAGTGTCTTTTTTTCTTCCACCCAGTTTACTTAGAGCCAAAAGCACAGCCACCTTGTGAAAAAATAAACATGAGCTAACATGGTTTTACTGCTTTCCCTCCTTTTTATTTTCAACCATTATAAAGAGGCATGAAAACGAAAGAAAAACAATATAACTTTTTAATGCACAAGGTTCCCCTAGGCAGAATGAAATCATTTGTGTAGAAAGTCTATGCATCATTTAAGGAATTAGCCTAAAATATTTCATTTGCTCATTCACATATCAACAGTTTCTTTCCTCAGAGAAGATGAGATTAAAAACCCTCATGTAAAAGCATGAAAGATACAGCTGAAGGTTCTGAAAGATTTGTGCTCTTATACTCCCACTTTCCTGATAAACTCCTGAGAGTAACAAGAGAAGGCAAGATCTCTGGATCCGCAGGTAATGATGAGCCTGTGGTCCTGTTCACATTTAAAAACTGGGAGGCATCAAAGCAAGGGAACAAGATGGAAGCATTTTCTGAGGGCACCTCGTGGAGCTTCATGAGTTCTGTGAGCCCCAAATTGTAGAGAAGGTACACCTGGACTCACGTGATCTCCTAGGAGTGGAACAGAGTGAGAGCCAGCAAAGCTGAAGTCAACGTGTGTGGTGGGGTAGGTGGTGAATGGCAGCTCCAGCAGGCCAAGCAGTCCACTGAGACAATTAAGATGTCCCATGCTTGCTGATTTGGAGGTACTGAGAACAGCTGCGATTCAACAAGATAAGTTTAGTTTTGGTGGTTGGCATGCAGATGACAGAGGATGCTTGAGCTGTCTTCCCTTACTGCTAGTTCATTATTAAAAGTTTTTGTTAAATACTTAGGTTTTAGGGACAGCCAGAAAGTGCCTGTTTCTAATAAGCCTTTAGATGCAGTACAAGTGAAAAAATAATAAAATTTCTGTCACGTAGCATTTTTTAATGTTATGTATATTCTTTTCACTATAATATGTATTCCAAGACAACAGGAGTTTTAAAACATTCCTATTGTTAATAACAAAATTTAGCACATAACAGAGGCCTAATAAATACTTATATAGCAAATGGCTTTGGAATAATGAGACTATAGAAGTAGATATGATTATAAAATACATTTGATATTCTGCATTGATGGCAGATTGCCATCTGCTGTAGAGTCATATAATACCTATGAAATCTCCAAACCATCTTTACATATCTAAAGTAAGATCAGGCTGGAGAATGTATGCAGAAATCTTTTCTCTATTTCTGTCCACTTAGTGTTGAGAAACATGTGCCCTTTGTATATCAGGAAGAAGTAACAATAATAACCACTTTAGCTGACTTCTGGAATTAGCTTAATATTTATCTCATACATACGGAAATCTTTGGACTAATATGTCTGGTGGTGGAGGGAAGAAAGCTCTGTGTTTGCATGTGTGCATTCATGCTGAAGGAACACACCTGATGCGTCCTGGCTTGACTTTGTTTTCCAGACCTCTGCTACCCTATTTCCATTGTCGCTTGTCATATGCAGTTAGTGGGTAAATTACAAGTGCCTATCCAAATGGAAATATGCTGCAAGTACAGAGTACACACTGAGTTTCAAAGACTTACTACAACAATGTAAGATTTCTCCACACTTTAAAAATATTTGCTGTACATTAGAGTGATAATTTTTAATATATCCGTTTAAATAAGACACATTGTTAACATTAATTTCATTAATGTTTCTTCCTGTGCTTGACCATTAGAAAATAAAAAGCTTGTATGTGAACTTGCACCGTGTTTGTCCTTTGGCTTTGAAAATTAGTGTTCCAACCATTTGCTGAGACTCATTCACTGGTTCCTTCTTTAGTCCACAGCAGAGGATATATTCTGATTTTAGGTGCTGACATTGTAGCTCCAGTGACTTTGTCCATCCAGTTTGATTTTCTCTTGCACTGGGGAGTAACAAGCCTATTGGATGTATCATTTAATTATTCCTGATAAGCTCTACTTGCTTGAAGAATCCACGACTTTTAGATTGTAGGTCAAAGAAAAAGTTAATTGAATGACTAACTTTATTATTAAGAATTATATGTGGTTCTTTATGCCTTTAGTTACTTATTTTTATTCTGAGATACATAGATTCTTTTCCACTATATTAAGCACAAAGTTAGCAATATACTCACCACAGAAAGGTGGTTGCTTGTTTCTTAAGCATTATTTACAAATAAAAGGTCTATTTCAGAAGGAATCATGTATAAGTCCGGTATATTAAGATTAATGCAGAGAGGTATCTGCTGTCTTATGATCTCCAAAGGCAACAGTAAGTGTCTGATGGGAGGGCATACAAAGATAAAACTATCAATACCAGGGCATATATCAATACTTCCAGAAATTAAAAAAAAATCCTAATCATAGCAGGCAGGGACAAAGCTCGACCTTTTGAAGAGCTGAACTGTTCTGTATCTGATGCTGCCTATCCAGGATTAGTTTAAAGGATGATTTCAAGAATTACATGGCTAAAATGGTCATGTAAAAATTCTGTTTCGGAAAAAGGATTTGTATTCACCTAGGTCACCTAGACAGGCAGACCGTACTAATCAAATCACTTGGATGATTACTGTAATTTCCACATCTTTAAATTTATGTAGTGAAAGTTGCATAATAAGAAAATTGTATCTGGAGAGAATCATCTAGTTTAACATGTTCATTTTAGCAAAGATGAAAACTAAAGAGCCACAGGTGAGTATTGCACAATGATTCATTGGTAACCTAGGCTTAAAACCAGGATTTCTGGTCTTAGTTTTTCCTTTGTCAATTCAGAAAGCAGAAAAAAATTCAAAATTATCTTTTGAATCTGTTCACTGCTGCAATAATCGACTTAGAAAGATTAATTGCTAGTTTATTTTTATTTTCCTCATTGAGTATCAATTTGAGTATCTATAATTAGAAACGTTCCTGAGAATTTTGAAAATTGTATTTTGCAAGCAGTAACATTCATAATAATTTATTGCATCTCTTACATAGTGCATGCTTCTGTCACAAAAAGTATGGAGACCAAATTGATGTCACAATGACACGAGAAAATTGATTTTGTAATGTCTATGATAAAATTGCAGAACCCGATTGAGTACTGAATTCTTTATTTTCTTAGCAATATTTGCTTGGAAAATTTTTTCTTTGTCACTAATGAAATTTTCTTTCTGTGAGAAATTGTCTTCATCTTGCTTCATGAGTAATGTTTAGTTTTCCTTCAGGACTTGCGTGAAGTTTAGGATTTTTTAAAGTCATTGAAGTGAGTGTAATGACTATCGTGCTATTTATTCTTGTACTTTCTATTTTTGGTTAATTATGATGCATTCTAATGATTGATGTATTCTCACAGGACCTTTTGATTTGGTTTCCAGGATGGCTCCATAGTTTTCCTTCCTGTTTTTCTTTTCCTGCTGCTGTTAGTAGATTTGATGTTATTGTCATTGGACGACGACGAAGAAGACAATAGCATATTTGAATTTGCCCTAATTATAGCTCTGAAATTACCCAGCATTTTTCCACTATGTGTAACACACTATGTTTGATTATGTGAAGATAAGAATGTGAATGATGCTACCAAGATTCACCATGGAAATTACATAAAATTCATTTCCCTTGAAAAGGCTCAAAATGATTATTTTTGTATTTGTTTTCTTTTTTGAGGGAGTTCAAAAAAATCTCTTAGAATCCAAAGTGTTTTGAGTTTAAAAGATCTTGTTTTGTACATGAATCATTTCTTTATTATATAAGCACAACTTTACCCTATTTTTTAAGTTGTTAAAAATGCTGCTTTTTTTCCAATAACTTACAGTAACATAAACCATTACTGCTAAGTGTTTGTCATGTAATTTATAAAACTAGCAAAAATGAATGAAAGGATTCATGGAAATCTAAGCTAACACATTAAAATGTGCGATTTATATTAAGAAATTATTACAAAGACTGAACATGCTACTTAGGAATTATTCAGTGCTTTCATCCCAGAAGTAATTTATTCTTTCTAAATAAGAGAGAGTATTTTAATTTGCAACCAGGCCTGAACATGTTTTTTTTTTTCTTTTTTTAATTTACCACCAATTCCTGCAGCTAAAGTATGGAAGATGGGAAGAGTAATTTTTATGATGCCTTTTCTGAAATGAAGTTTGCATTGCAATGAATAACTGTGCCTAATGTAGAGTTTTCTATCTCCACCCTGTATTTCCATTTTACCACTATTAAGTAAAACCATAATCTTATAGAGTTATTGACAATCAAATATTAAACTAACATTCTAGTTTTGCTTCCTAAATGTCTTGTTATGTGTATGTATATGATATTTATCTAATACACATTTTATTAAGAATGTTAGTTTTCAGATAAAATATTTTATAGCATATCATGTATAGCAATTAAATTCATGGCTTACTTTATGTCTATAATGTAGGATGGAATGGATGGCTATACAATTAAAATAAATATTTCACTAAAAGTTTTTTAATAGTAAATAATTGCAAACAGCTAACCAGTAGTATCTATAGTACCTGTTTATAGATTAGAACCTATATTTATTTCTCAGGAAATTTAATGGAATGTATAATTCATCCACATTGGGAATATATTTTAGTTTAGACTTGAAATATGCAGTATTGTTCTGGGCTCAGAATATAACATTTTTCATCTTCATATGCAGGAAGAATAAATAGCAAGCATTTCACTGAGGGAAGTGGACCTAAAATGCAGATTGTTCAACTTAAACTTGGAAAGATACAAGATCCACCCAGAGTAGAAGAGAAATCATTCACATTTATATGTCACAGGTAACAGCTGTTTTTGAGAGAAAAAAGAAAAATCAAAATCTCCTTAGAAATACAATTCATAAAAGCCTAGAATCTAAAGTGGAATATAAGCAAATGCCTTCACAAAATGGATTTTTAAAGTCATAAATTCTCTAACATAAAAAAGGACATACTCATTGAAGATAAATGTGGGTCAAAAAAAATTAAGATACAAACCCTGAGCCAAAAAAATCAAGAATACCCCCCGCAAAAAGACCATTCTTTAGCTGAGTGAATTGGTTTTCATTTTGTCTCTATGAAAAAAATAAGGTATGTAATTTATGACTTCATTCTTTTATGTTTAGCTGTATATGATTATGCACAAATGAAGTGTATAGTAAACTATATATAGTTTTCATTTCGTAAGAAGATTTTAATCACACTCATTCTTTCATAAAATTCTGAATCCTATAACCCTCTAGACATGAATTGGCCCCAAATGATTATAACAATTTTCAGTGGATAAAGTTATGTCTTAATTACTGAGAGAATGCTTGGATTTAACCACTGAATCCCACTTATTTCCTTCTAACTTTTATGGAGTCTATCAAATTAAATATTTGAAGCCCTTAAAGGAAACTCATTTATTGGATGTCACTAATCAAATCAGGAAAGGACAAATGTTTCTTCCAGACCTAGGGACGAGCTTCTAGCTATACTTCCAAAATGGATAAACAATTTTAACACAACCCCAATAAAAATACTCTCAGCATTTTTTACAGTACTGGAGAAAACAATCCTAAAACTCATATGGAACCAGAAGAGCCCCAAAATAGCAGAGGCAAAGCTGAGAAACAAGAACAAAGCAGGAGGCATCAAAATCCTGAATTTCAAGTTGTACTACAAAGCTACAGTGATAAAAACAGTGTGGTATTGGCAAATAAATAAATAAATTCCTCTCCTCAAACCAAAGCAGAAACGTGGATCAGTGGAACAGAATAAACAAAGTAGAAACAACTCTTAGCACATTCAGATACTTGATCTTTCACAAAGAGGTACAAAACAATGCTGGAGGAAAGATAGCCCTTTTAGCAAATAGTGACAGAAAACTGGCTATTCACATGCAGATTGAATGTATACAAATATCTCTCAAGAACCATGTACTAAATTAAAATAAAGATGATCAAAGAGAATGCTGAAAGAGAAAGACTTAATATGCTGGAAAATAAAATGAGTAGCCTCTTAAAGACATAGGCATAAGCAAGGACTTTCTTTTGCTCATATTTTTTCCTTTCCCCTACCTCTCCAACTTCCCCTACACCATTTAGACCTTTTGTTCCTATACCAAGAATCAACAAATGGGATTATATTAAGTGAATTACTTCTTCACAGCAAAAGAAACAACCAACAGAATGAAATGAAAACCTATACAAGGGGAAAAATGTTTTGCCATTCTTATATCTGGAATATACTGTATACAGAACTTGAAAAAATTAGATGCACTCTGAAATAATAGGGAACTGAAAGGAATAGACACTTCATAAAAAAATACAAATGGCCAATAAATACATGAAGATATGCTCAACATCGCTGGCCATTAGAGAAATGCAAATGAAAATACCACTAAGATTCCATCTTACACCAGAAATAATAGCCATCATCTAGAAATCAAATAGTAACAAAGGCTGGTGAGGCTGGGGGAGGGGTAGGAACACTTTCTCCATTGTTGGTGAGAATGCAAACTAGTACAATCACTATGGAAATCAATACAGCGAACCCTCAAAAAATTGAAACTACAAATTCCATTTGACCCAGCTATTCCCCTTCTAGGTGTCTTCTCAAAAGAGTTAACGACATCATATTGCAGTGAAACATCCATACATGTAAAGAAAATGTGATATTTATACAAAAAGAAGCACTACTTTGCCATTAAGAAAGATCAAGCTGAGTCATCTGTAGGAAAATTGATGTACCTCCAGACCACAATGTTAAGTGAGATAAATGAAACACACAGCTCAACTATTGCATAGTTTCTTTTCTGTGACAAACCAAAATTATAAATAAAGAGCAAACTAAAGGATAACAGGAAGTGGGGAAATAGATCTTTCTCAAATGGAAAGGAATCAAGAGATGGAGAGAAGAGGAAGAAGGGGAGGGAAACAGATGAAAAAGAATTAAGATGTGTTATATGCATGTGCCAACTCCACACAAGCAACATCAACACGATGCACCGCAAATATGTCCACATAAAAAGAAAGAAAAAGCAGTCAGCAAATTGGAGCAAAGCTTTCCTGGAGCATCTGTCAGTGAAGTCATGTGATCAGCCAGGGTTCCCATCATACTTTTCCAAAAGATAATAAGTACAATTAGGAAATGGTCTCTCATATATATTGAGAGAACTCCAGCATGTTCAGTTTTTCTGTAGTTAGCCTGGTTACTTCCACACCTAGGCCCTGTGTGTGAGGTAACGTGTCAAATTAGCCAAATCATCTGCTTTCCCTTATATAAGACACTTACTTTAGCTATCTTTGGATTTTGTTTTTGGGCCTTTTAGCTGCCATTTTAGTTCTAACAGAATTTTTATCTAACCAGGACTCCTTCGGCTCTTACTACATACAGGAAAAAACACTCTTGAATATCTTTTATTTTTTTCTAGACTATTCAACTAATACAAGGCAGGCCAAAATGTAGAATATTTGCTGGATATTTGATCAACATTTAATTCAGTTTTTACGAGCTATTTCATATACAGCATACAGACTTCAAAAGATACAAGAGTTATATGTTGAAAAATATGCATTTTTTTCTCATTTTCATAAGCTAGTTGCTCATACATCCTTTACAAAGGCAGATTCTAGATTTATAACTCATTTATATTAGCTTACTGTGTAATTTTCTAGAAATACATGTATGTATCTATTTATCATCTATCTACCTATCATCTAGCTAGCTAGCTATCATCTGTCTCTATTATCCATCCATTCACGTATCTGTGGAAACAATTCCTGCATGCTGTCTCTAATTTGTTTTGTTTAATCTAACATACTGTACATTGAAAGTTGCCAGTTTGTAAAGTGTCCTTTTTCTTTTAATGCACATAAGGATTTGCTTGTACAGATAAGCTTTTAAAATTACTTATCCAATTTCAGATCAAAGCTTACTTACCTTGTTGGCAATATTTTGCTTTATAAATAGTGCAGCACTAAATATTTTTGCAAGGTGTCTTGTAGCTTTTGTATTCCAAATTATAAAGTGAGGAAGTAAATATATTTACCCTACCCTCTACCTGTTTTTCTCTTTTCCTTGTGGTTTTTGCTATTCGTGACATTTTCCACTACTGGATTTATAGTACCTGCGTTATTTTCTATAATAATAATCTGCACTTTTTTCTAGTTTTACCTTTACATTTAGATGCTCATTGGAAATCCTTTCTGGCATTGTTTTTCCACTCATTCCTCAGTTGACTAAGGTAGCTCTTCTAATAATTTCTATGAGATGGCATGGGGATATTAGATAGTTTTTCTATTACTCTTATATTTGAGTAGCAGTGTGAATGGTAGGAGTGGTAGTTAAATTCTTTGATCATGTGCTTTCAATCTCTTTACAGATTTAATGGATCCCCAGAATTTTAGCATTGGGTGTTGTGATAAAGATGGACGTCTGATAGCAAACTTTTCAATTTAAGTAGTTTGATATTTTATCCTGGATGCCCCTAAAGATCTTTCATTGTCTTTGTTATCCAACAAATTTTTGTGTCTTCATATTATTTTTATCATTTATTTATCATTTGGTTTTAGAAGGGATAGGATGCATACATTTTTTGAACCTGTAAGTTTAAGTCTTTTCTTTCAGGTAAGTTTCTGGATTTTATTTTTGTACACAGTGTGTTCAAACAATTTGGTGAATATTTAAATTTTAAAAATTTTTTATGGTTAAAAAAGCCACATTACTATTAATCCCCCTCCAAATACTCCCCTTAGCTTCAAACATATTTATTCTATCATGGTTGCCTTTTCCTGAAGCACCTCTGGAATTCTCTCTAGTGTTTAGTTGTGTGGTCACAGCTGCCTCAGTGTCCTGAATCAACTTGAAGCGTTTGTCTTTCACAGTCATTTTGACTTTGCAGAAGTCAGGAGTTGCACAGTGCCAGATCCTTGTCTGTAAGGTGGATGAGGACACCTTATTGGTTTATGTTACAGAAACTCTTTTCTTTTATTCTTTTTTTTTTTTTTTTTGTACTCATGTATTACCTGTGGGAGAGGAGACCTCTTTTTTTTTTTTTAAATATCTTTTTTTTTTTTTTTTTTTTTTTTTTTTTTTTTTACTGGGGATCGAACTCGAGTCACTGAACTTGCAAGGCAGGAGGCAGAACCACTGAGCTAAATCCCTGGCTAACATAAATGTTTGATCAAGTGGTGATCATAAATGACAGTGAGGTTTAAATTTTAAAAAATTATTTTGGTAAAGCACCTTGCCATTAATCTCCCTGAATATACTGTCTCTCACGTCAAGTGTTCTTTATACCATTGTTCGTGGCAATGTATCTTTTGGTGTAACTAGGGTTTTTAAAATAAAACATTCACCCATTTACCATAAGTTTTGATCACCCCTTGTATATTTGTTTTCCTTATCACTGAAGAGTTTTTAAACATCCATACACATGTTGTTTCTTTTGCTTTTTTCTACACGAATCTTTATTATCTTTTTATTCTTTTATTAATCCTCTATCTTTTGTGTCTTTTACTACGTCCACAGCTATCTAACATTCTTTGTTACCCCTATGACTTTTATTTCTATGATAAGGTTAGTTTTTTCTACCTCTTTACTAAATTGTTCTGGTTTATAGTTCTTCTTCTCTCATTGCCTTGTTTAATATCCAATTATAATATTTGTGTGAAACACTTGCTCTGTTCCTGACACTTCCCTATCTAGAGGCTGGTAATAGAGTCGTCAAAAGGCAGAAAGCAAATTCTTTTCTGGTAAAGTATATATTATAGTTTTTTCATCTTTGTTATTATCTTGTTTTATGGATACTATTAACTATTGAATTCCGCAAAATTCTATATATTTTTTCAGAATACAAATATTTTTATTCTGTGAAGAAAATATGTTTTATATAAATAAAGAGAATTATAATGAAAAATTCTTGTTTTGAAAGAAATTTTTCTGCTTTCCTCCTTTTTAAAATTTTGGTGGTGCGGTATGATGCAAATGCATATTGTAGGTTTTTTTCTGCTTATCTTTAAATACAGTCATTTCTCAACAATTATTTAAATGTCTTAAAGGATGTATCTGATCAATGTCTAGGCCTGGGTGAGCAAATTTTAGCTCGTAGTTCTAATATAACCATGGCTTCTTTTTTGTACAGCCTGTCCATTCACATCTTAAAATGAGGAGGAAGAGGAGGAGTGGAAGAGAAGCTTACAAAGAGGAGAGGAAGATGATAGTGACGAAAATCTCTATGGAGGCTCTATATGGCCTAAAATACTCAGCATCTAGTTCTTCCCAGAAAAAAAATTTCCAATGAGTTTCAAGCTAACAACAATTTCTCTAAAACAAAATAATGTACTAATAAAATTATTAGCATGGGAGATACTGAGTGGCAGCGTAAAGAACCTCTCAATGACCTTTCTCCACTATTTGCCTCAGATACTATCTGCTTTCTTCAAGTATAGGTTTGTGGAGGGGGTTAGGTGGGGGAAGGAGTAGGGTACATTTATCCTAGTTTTCTGTTCTCTATGTCCAGGAATAAATACCAAACTAGGTCAACAAAATACATGGCTACCCCCACAGGTAACATTTCTGCAAATGAAGGGTTATTGATTTTGCTTACAAATTTGTCTCTTGTTTTGGAAAATGTCTCTCTCAGATACTTGAAGCTATGAGTTCAGTCTCATGTGTTCTTAGTCATTACACTTTAAAAAATTTGTTTAGGGAGGACAGGGACAAGGGGAAAAATGAGAACCAATACCTGTCATGTAAAGGCACAAGATCCCAGTAATGAATGTAACTGTACTGTATAACTAAAATGTACCAATAAAGTAAAAAAAAATTAAAAAAATTTTTACTCAGATACCATTATTTGACTTATAGATGCCATTTTGTTCCTTCAAAGGTAGATATTGAATTTCTGTTTCTTGTTCTACTTCTTGGATTTTTATGATTGCCCGAAAGATGAGAGAAAAATACACACATTAGTTTTAAATTTCAAAACAAAATATCTATTTTTTAATAAATATAATTATGTCTTTGTCTTAGAATATGTTGCCAGGAAACTTCAGGTGTAGACATAATAAGTAACATGGTGAAGATGATAGAAATACAATTTGTCATTACTGTGAATGTGCAATAAATTGTATGCAGATGGCTTTATAAATATCGAGCAATCACAAAGAGCTATTGTGATTGCACACCATGGAAAATCCATTAGGGCTTTGTGTGGTTGACTAATTAAACAGTATATCATGATTTAAGCAACTATAAAAATAACTTACAAAATATGCAGAGGACTTCCATGTTCTAATGATGAAGAATAAAGAGACTTATTCAATTTGTTAACCTACTCTAAATAAGGCATGATGCTAGCTAGGCACAAGTTTATTCTTGTGCTTACCATCAAGTGGCCAGGGATTTGGCTCAGTGGTTCCACTGCCTTCCTCACAAGCACAAGGGCTGGAGTTCAATTCCCAGTACAAATAATAATAATAATAATAATAATAATAATAATAATAATAATAAAATAAAGTAAGGAGAAGAGTATCAAGTGGATCATTTACACTGTATCTGAATAAAGGCAAAAAGAGATGGGTTCAATGTAATTTAAGAAGCCAAAAAAAGAAAAAAGACATATAGAGGTACTGGCTTTTTCAAGTAATGAGGACCATGGGAATAAATGTGATAGCAAAACTATCACTACTCATGTCTGCTAATTTCTAGTCTAAGGCATTGACATATAGAGAGAAAATTAAGCAAGCTAGAGGAGTCCATTTGAAAGTGTAAATGAAAAAAAGAATGAGATTAATTTCATACTGGAAGTTTGTTTTAGTTGTTCTTCACACATATTAACCTACACAGTGAAGTTAAAATCCTTTAACTTTCAGATTGTGGATCCTATTTGAAATCATCTGGGCTTAGCTTCATTTTCAACATTTTGCAGTTGCAACGTGTTTCCAATATAATTAAAAAGTAAGTTGGGTTCTCTCTCCCCCTCTCATTTTCACCGAGGACATGAATTCTTAAAAAAATTTGCATAGTTACATTTACTTCCTTTTCTGCTCGGTGAAGGAATATAATTAAAAAGGTGAAAGGCATTGAGCTGATGGTTCATAATGCGCTAATTCATAATAGAGTATTAGCATTCTGATTAAAAGAAAATATCTAATGGAACCGGAGGAAGATTTCTTTCTCACCCTTTCTCATTATATGTATGGCGAGTTCTGAGATTTAGGCAATGCTGCCACAAAAAGGCTATCATAGCTGAATGCTGCTTAGGAAGCTATTCAACGGGAGTTTTTAAACAGCTGTTCCCCAGCTTCATTAAGACTCATTATGACTTGTCATGTAATGGAGAACTTATATTTTTTGATGATCTCTGCATACCAGTAAAGATAAAAGTATGTCTTAAGGCAGAACTAAAAAGAACAGAAGTTGGCACATATTAAAAATAGATTACTAAAATGTCCTAGTTAGCTGGCACAGACCTTAAAAGCTCAGTACAATCACTCAGATTTAAAGGGAAAAGATAAAAAAGTGACAAAATTCACTGAGCTTTTAATACATCAACAGTTATATTTTAGGGAAAAAGTTCCATTCTTTTATATGAAAGGCACCTGGGGGCCCCAGAGATTGATCTTCTCCTCTTATGATGGGAGTTCACAAAGCTGGCGTGGTCACGGCTGAGAGGGACATCCTGATGGCTTTTCTAATTGTTCTTCACCTTCAAGTGCAGGTAGAGTTACAATCCTCTCTCCATGCATCACACCCCAGACACCTTTCTCAGCCATACAAAGGCAAAGGCTATCTCAGTTCTCGGTCAAAGATTGAGGGTCACTGACACTGCTAGTTCCGTATCTGTAGGGGTCTCCAGAATTAATACTTAGATAACGGACTTGTGCAGGAGGTTAGGAGATTTGTTTTTAAGTTTTAGAGCACTTTGTTGTTGTGTTTGTGGTTTTACAGAGAAAGCACTGCTTTTCTTTCTTTAATTGTAATTTTTTAAAAATCTTAGATTGTGAACAAGTCTAGCAAAGAATTTTAAGGGATGCTTCCATACTTTATGAAGGGCAAGAAAACACCAAGTATCCATAGAAATTATTGGTATCGATCTTAATTTGAGTGACAGTGTAAACGGGATGGAAATTAATGATGGTGACTTTAGAACTACAGCTGACTGCCTAGAGCTACCATTCCTCCATGAAACCTAGCACTTCATAACCACGAGCACAAGTGATCAGGAGCTACATTATGACTTTGCAGCTAGGACTTCATGTCTCAGTGTCCCCTAACGCCCTCACCCTCATACCCAGTCACCCTCATGTAGCAATGTGTCTTCTTTTTTTAAAAAAATTGAGGGTATGCCAAGCAAATGTTTTGCTTCCAGCCTAGCTGTTTGCGTCTGTAAAGAGGAAAGTGTAGCAGGTACATTATACATTTTCAGGAGCAACAGGAGAGCAGATTGCTACGAAGTTGAGAGTATTGGAGAAAATATTCCTCCATGACAGAGCATCAGTTGTGAAAGTGAGAAAGGAGGAGGTTTGGGCAGGTACGGAGTGTAATTCCATGTAGCCATACTACCTAATACAACTTGTAAGGCAGAGTGAGGGGAAGAAGCTACATGTACAGAAAAGTAGGAAAAGTGTAATATCCCTTTTGCTGAAGATTAAAGGAAGAGAACTGGTTTTAAGAAGAGCAGAGGGTATTTATAGGAAATGAGCATAGTAAAACTAAATTACATAGCAAAACCTTGTCTCTTAAAACAAAAAAAAAACACAAGAAATGGCTGTAAACAAGATTATTGAATATATATATATATGTGTGTGTTTGTGTGTGTGTGTATATATATATAGTATATATATATATATGTAAAATAGTCATTTATTCAACATGACATTTTTTTTTATTGAGTTTATTGGTACATTTAGGGATACAGTACAGTTACATTCATTGTTGGGATCATGTACCTTAACATGACATTATTAATAGCAATTGTCAACAATTTGGAGACACAAAGAATTAATTAGCATTTGCTGCCTATTTAACATACAGAGGAGATATTTAGATATGGTACGAACTTGTTATTCTAATTGCCCTCCAAATGGATTAAAGCGGCAAGTGGTGATGTTTAGGATGACATACCTCATGCCATGTAGCAGACCCTACGTTCTCTTTCACACCAGGCTTTTTGTTTATCTTTTCATTACCAGATCCCTTTGGATAGTATCTGGTGTCGGTCATTTCAAAAGATGCTTTTATATCTGTTATTTCACAAGTTTGTGAGGAATTACAATCCCTATTTTATAAGATAATACAGTTAAAAGAAGCTACGTGAATCGGGCAGGCCAGATAGCTAGTTAGTGGACGACCTGGAACTTCAACACAGGTTTCTGAAACCTGACCTGGAGACATTATGCTCTCCGTGAGAACATACTTCCACACACCTAATGATAGAAAAATGCAGTCCTGTGGAAGAGCTGAATCGCTTTGGTCAATCTTGGATTCCTGAGAAGATTTTTGAGGCCAAGGCTGGGTTTCTGATAATTAATTTTTGTCAATAAAGCAGATATATTTCAAAAGTTTCTATGGCCTTTTATTTTGGCAGTTGTATTTTTAAAAATTATTTCTATTTTAAAGAAATTCACTATTAAACATCGCTATTTTAATACTAATATGGAGTCTAGGAGTAGCTCAATATGTGAAAATATGACAGATAATTTAACTTTGCAGTGCAGACTCTAGTTCTGACTTGTAATTCATAGTATCACCTTAGTTTTATGCTGAATTTCTCCGTGTTTCTAAGGATTTAACAAAGTGCATGGCTATGTGAACGACCCGTTTTCCCTATGAAAGATGGCAAGCATGCTGTGATGACAATACTGTGCAATCAGTTTTCAGGAAGGATCCTCTCTATTCCCCACGAAGCTGCTAAAATAAGAATGGAATAACATAAGGAAAGCTTCTTTGCTAAAGTAAAATGGCACTAAGATGTTAAGAGGTTACGGTCTTTCATTATGTATTTTTGTAAGCATCATCCCTAAAGAGTTTCACACAAGAGTTTTGCTGCTTTAAATAAGTAGCAGTTGAAATAATTTGCCTTTCTTATGAATTGTGCCCATGCTTTCTCTAATGAAAGAGAACAATTATTTTACAATGCAGTTTTGTTCAACTTTATTTCTCCACAGGACAAAACCTTTTAAAAATTCCCTGTGTAATCCAAGCTTCCATTTTAATACTACTTGAGGTCAGCAGGATAAGGGATCCAGATACATCTCATTAAGAAGTCAGGTACAGGCTATTTCCTGGAATAGGTTTTATTTCCTCTTTGAATTACTTGACTCCATACCAAAGGTGCAATTGTTCTCTGCATTTTATTTTCAATTTAGTGTATCCTGAACATTAGATACATACACGTTAATTTTTAATACAGGTGCCACAGATTATGGCCACACCCCCATAATTCAGTTTGGATGAATGAAATTTTAAGCCAGTGAGTCAGACCAGACTTGTAGGGATGTGTTCAGTAGAACACTAATCTTGTAGTATGAGAAGGGTGGAGAGGAAGATGGATATTTGGGAAATTTGTATATCTTCTTTCAGAATTCATGTGAGCATCTTTTGTGTATTTTATTTGTGATGGTGCAGTATGTTTTCATTAAGTTTATTGGTGCTTTTTAGGTATACAGTACAGTTACATACATCATTGGGATCTTTTACCT